CCTTCCTGTGGCACCAACGCATACCCTCCTATGTTATGGAACTGGAGGGCAAAAAGGCTGAGCTCGAGAAAGTGGTTAAGCATCACATCAATACAGTCGCTAAACATTTTAAGGGTATTTATGAAACTATTAATTACTTTGTTTTTATTGTATACTTTAGTATAAGTAATTAAATGCATTTTTGTTGATTAATATACATTATATTGATTTTAATATTCATAGATTTTATGTAAATTAGTATGAATAACATATAATTTTTTTAAAAAAAACTTTTTATTCAAATCATAGGTAAGATCTACGCGTGGGATGAGGTCAACGAGGTTCTCAATGAGGACGGGTCGGGCAATAAGCTGAGGGACAGCCTATTCTCCAAAACCTTGGGCACTGGTAAGTTAGGTATCTGATGCCTGGATCAGATGATAAGATTGCTAATCAGGCCCAGGATTATAGTCATGCTTTTAGCGCCTGTGAGAAAGTGTACAGGTGTGTTGGGGTTACCGTTTGGGGGTTTACGGATAAATACTCGTTTTTCTTTGACACGGGTTATGGGGAACAGCAGTTGTGGACAAAGGATTTTAAGCCCAAACCCGCCGTAGAAGCCGTCCGTAAAGTTTTGAAATGAATGTAATTTTCAATTTGTAAAAATTAGTTTTGTTTAAATAATAATATTGTTATTGAATTGTATGTTAAGATTTGAATGTATTTAGTTAATAATATAATTTATATACATGTACATTATTTTGCAATTCTATTTTTCACATTTATTATAAAACAATATATACAGACAATCTGTAATAGTAAATAAATGGTATTAATTTATCATTATAACAATTAATTTGCCGATTTATATAAATACATATTTTTACAATTTACGTCAAATAGACACCAAATGCCAAGTATATAAATTACAGTCTCTTACAGTGTAGTCTATGATAATACTGTAATATAACATTTAATAAATAAATAAAAGTAATTAAATCACATTTTGAAAATGTTATCGAAGTTCATAGTTTTTGTTACGGTTTTAATTATGTAAGTATGGTATTTCTGTAAATTTACTATGTTACAAACTATTTTATAAATATGTGATTAAATCTAATTTTACATGAATATGATGGGCACCGGCAGCTCAATCGAGGGTCACCTGCGAGATCAGGCCAAACAGAAATACATCGGGTCAGCCATGACCTCCCATGCCCTGGGAGATCAACAATACCTGGATATATTAGGCCAGGAGTTCAATTGCATGACACCTGAGAATGAGATGAAGTGGGGATTACTGGAGACCAGTAGAGGACAGTATAACTGGACAAAAGCCGACAAAATGGTGGAGTTTGCACAGACACATGACATGAAAATTAGGGGACATACCTTCATATGGCACAATGAGTTACCTTCATACGTGGGTACACTTGATGGCAAAAAGGCTGAGCTCGAGGAAGTGGTCAGGGCCCATATTAACACAGTGGCCGCACATTTCAAAGGTATTTAATAGTTTAATTAATTTTATTTTTAAGTTAATTTGTAGTTTTTAATTGCTTTTTAAGTAACAAAAGTATTATTATTTATAAATACAAATAATGTCTAATAAAATGCATACATTTAACGCAAAACCATAGGTAAGATCTACGCGTGGGATGTGGTCAATGAGGTGCTCAATGAGGACGGGTCGGGCAATAAGCTCAGGGACAGCATATTTTCGCGAACTCTAGGCTCCGGTTTCATTGAGGAGGCTTTCCGTACGGCACACGCGGCCGACCCTAACGCCAAGCTATACATCAATGACTACGGCATCGAAGCCAAGAATAATAAGTCGGACGCATTATACGAGTTGGTGAAGGGCTGGAAAGCTAATGGAGTGCCCATGCAAGGGGTCGGTATGCAGGCACACTTCAAGGAGGGTGAGGTTCCCGCAACCCTTCAGGAAAACATTAAACGGTTTTCCGATTTGGGAGTGGATGTGGCTATTACTGAGCTTCAGGTTAGGTATCTAATGCCTGCCTCAGCTGATAAGA